TAGGTCAACTAATCTAGATTTTGCTGGGTTTGTATGTTCGGCCCTGTTCTACTAGTTTGACCTATGTATTTGACTTGACAATCATCGCAGGCAGGGTATTAGATAAACTAAATTGTTTTGTTTTAAAGGTTCCACTGGCAGGATCTTTAACCGACAAAGCTAGTTTCTAATTGTGTTTGTGGGTTTAAAATGACATTATTGTTTTTACTGATGTTTCTCTATTTAATGCTGCTGGTCATGGCTTTATCAAAGTATTATTAAACCAGAATTTACAAATATCGTCTCAAATTTTATCATCCTTCATTAGCATGGAGGCATTTTTGCGAAGAAAAGAAGAAATCTGCAGAATTCAACAAAATGAGACTAAATACTAACAGACTCCTTCAAGAAATAAAACCCATAATAGGAAATTCTCTCTGATTTAAACTAAAGTTAAAATCTTATGTATCTTCAAGATTCCACGGTCAACCAAAGATGCATGAAATCCACAGTTCCATTAAGACCAGTAGTAGATTTTACCAACTCACTGACATACAACCTCTCCAAATACTTATTTCCGATACTATAACCGCTGCGAAAGTACACTCAGAATATTCTAAAAGATTCATATGATTTCAAAGTCCAAACAGAACACCGAGAAATTGGAAAAGAAGACATTGTGGTAAGCTATGATATTAACTCAATATATACTAGCATCCCTATTACCGAAAGTCTTGATATCATTTCAGTTTACAAGAATCAGATACAATGCTATAACAACGATGTCCACTGGACACTAGTGAAATAATTATGAGCTTGAAATTCTGTCTAGAAAGTAATTATCTTAAGTTTAAAGGGAATTTATATAGACAAACAAATGCTGTTGCTATGAGTTCACCAGTCTCCCCAATAGTCGCCGACCTTTACATGAATAATTCGAAAATAATATCTTTTCAAGCATACTCACTCCTAAAATATGGTTAAGATATGTAGTGATACTTTTGTAGTACTAAAACGAGATCTACATAGTTCATTCTTGAGAAAATAAACTGTGAATCTCTCAGAATCCAGTCTACTACAAAAGCAGAATCAGACGTCGGTGAACTACCATGTCTAGGCTGCCCAGTTAAGAGGAGGGAAAATGGATATTTCAGTATATCTATTTTCAGGAAGAAAACACACTTCAACAAATACTTAGACTTCAGGTCGTCACACCTCATAAGCGCCAAGGTGTCAGATGTTTCAAGTCTTCTTAGACGAGCACATTGTCTGATGTTGACAGATGAGAAGGAAAAGGAAGAAGAAATATCGAACATTACTGAGACTTTCAAACAAAATAACTACCCAAAGAACTTCATCAACAAAATCAACACCGATATTAAATATGGGGGAGAACGTATTTCGAAGACATGAGGCTCAACAGTTGTCATTCCATGTAGATCAGAGACATCAGACGATATGAGAAGAGTACTCAATCAGCTCGCCATTGGAGTTTTCTTCAAAACACCAGACACACTACGAAACAACCTTGTTCATATAAAAGATCAAATCCTTAAGGATTCTCTATCTAAGTGTGTCTACAAAATAAAATGAAGGATTTGTGTGTGATGCGATATACATCGGACAAACATCCGAGAAATCAAAATCAGAAGGAGTGAACACCGTAAAGCATCTGTTCAACTACAGGGAAATCCAATTGGTGACTAGAAAAGCTTGAAAAATCACCAGTGATAAGTCTCTACATGTTATAGAATCAGGTCACAAAATCGATTTTAACAAAATTGAAATAATCCAGAAAAATCTCAGAAACCGCAAAGAACTTTTGAAATCAACTGGAATCCAAATTGTCTGAACAGGAATGATAGGGTTACACAGAATCTCACATGGTTGCAACACCCTCCTCTTCCATGAAATGAAAAAATCAACACGAATGTGATAAGCAATTTCATTATGTAAACACGCGCTGCTTTTATAATTTTATACTCTTATCAAATCCAAAAATCTACACTGGGTCTCGTTATCTTTATTAACTGGTTAACTTGACAACGTAAAAATGACCCCATGCTGAGGAACGATGATTAAATATGTCGTATATCAGCTGAGATTTAGTAAATTCTGGTTTGATAATTATGCAACAACGGAAGACAAGGGCCAGGGAACAGATCGTTTATTAAGGAAATCAACACGTATTTATATATTTTCATGTACATATTATGGATTATTGTTAGCTGAAGAACACAGTCTTCTGTTAGGTTGTTTCTCACAGAAAATTAACCTTGCATCTCTTTGTGACTGTTTCTTGAATGTCATATCATTTATGTGTTAACTGTATCTGCCTACGCAAGGTCTTTGTTCTTATTTTTCTCACGACCAATATTGGGGACGTAAACATTGACGTAAATTACTGTCCACCAATTTTGGTTAACAGCCAACTCTCACCACAATAATACATTGATAAAGCTATCACCAGTAGCATTAAGTAGTGAAACGTCATTACAAAAAACAATATCGTTTTGTTTTTCATTCATTGGGAAATATAAAAAGCCTTTTTTTATGAGATCTTAATATACTCTGTGGGGAAACTAAACTCAACAGATGGTAAAAGAAGTAAGTAATATGAATAGAATACACGTTCGATGATAAGAAATATTGAACCACCGTAAATATATACCGTTTCATAATGAAGCACAACTTATAGTCAAGTATCGATCTCATCTGGGCTATTATATCATTATTCTGTTGTCAAGCTTCAAGGTCTCTGTGAAGTGTATTAGACAACATTCATTTACTGAAAACGATCGAAATATATATTTGACCTTTATAATACTTCAAAGTGGAGATGTGTTCTTAAAGCTATCAGGTGAATTCAATATCGTGATTTCATCATGAGCTGACATTGGTTAGAGAACCATTGGAAAACCTGGGAGTACTGGAGAGCTGCCTTTCCAAAGGTTCTCTAACCAATGTCAGCTCATGAGGAAATCCTGTAACCAATCAAATCCCTACAAACCAACACTTGAATTCAATATCAGTTTACGTGAACTCTGCTCTTATATTATCGATTATGATAGGCACAATGGTTAACATCGCACACTCTTCACAAAGTATCCACTGCTGAACATAATCAGCAGTGTATCACTTATGAGATTCAGATTGTTCTTCTACTAGTCTGTCAGCTGAACTTCATGTAAAGTGCCCTAGTCTAAATCGGGAGAGTAAAGGTTGGATCACCAACCTTCTAATGGAGAGTTAAGTACTTAAAACCAGTAAACCACAGGAGAACTACAGCCACAGCTGTTAGCATTATTAAGAAAATGACTTAAACTAAGACGTCACTCATTGCCAATGCTGCAGGTACATCCAACTAATACGTCCCAAATAGGACGGGATGTGTATCTTGAGTTTGACAGCTGCCAGTCACCCCCGACCAAAATGAATTGAAGCCAGTCGTATTATGTTGGACCGATAAGGAGATTCTAGAGAAGATGTGGACTTCACGAATGATTTATATTGATACTTAATAAATGAGAAGAAATACAGGAGAAAACCAAAAGAAAAAATCTGGCAGAAGTAGCAGCAAAGACAAGAAATCGAGAGGACATGAGGAAGACGGAGGTGATGAAGATAACCGACAACAACAACAACAAGCACCAATCACTATTAACAGGAGAATTTTAAAAAAAGAGATCACTTCCTTCTTTTATCTAGCTAGGCAGCATCGTCTCAGCTACAGGCAGACGGAAGGAATGAGGATGTCAAAAGCAGAATTGGAAAGACAAGGCAGACAGACATATTCGTCACTCTGAAATCATTTGTAAATCTTCTCCATTCAACAGAAACAACAAAATTCCGATTTTTAACACCACTGTTAAACCAGTCAGTTCTTCTAGATGGATCCCGTGAGTCACAAAAAAAAAATCATTTTATCAACAGCTACCCCTTTCTCTGGCCTCATACTGGAGAAAAGGTAGCTGGCCTGAAAGGATTAGCAAGAAGGAACCCTGGAAACGAACTCTGGAACCAAGAACTTTCATCCAACAAATGCGCCGAAGCAAATAGAGATTGACTGGAGACTTACTGTGGAGACCATCTGGGTGATTTCGCGCAACAGATGGTTACCCGAGTGGAAGCTGAATGAGAAAAGAAGACGAGTTGGGCTTAGTGTCGACGGTGACGCGGAGAAGACCATGTATGGAGGAGATGAAAACTTATGGCGGGGCGGGGGGGGGGTGAATCGTTGGGGCAAGCTGAAGAGGATTGTGGGGAACAGCGTGAAATGAAAATGTTCTGTTGAAGCTGCCTATATTCCACTCAGAGCGTGAGGCAATAATCATCAAATTACAAAAAGATGGATAAAGTGAACAAATACAGTATGATTGTTGAATATCACCTATAATAACTAACTTAATGTTACATTTTTTTATCTACGCACATTGGTTATAAGTTGTGTATCGACACAATGCCAACTGATTTACACATGGTAATACATACACGGGCTACTACGCATACATACATACATACAGATTGAAATGTTGAAAGAAATAAGAAGCAGAGACGTCTGAGCAGTCTTACTTTGTAAAGGCATGTAAACATATCAATGGTTGCATATACACACACACATATTGACGAGCACACATTTACCAGTTATGACATGTTATTGATACGCGCTAGTATTGTAAGCGCGCACAATAGGACATTTATTATTGACATAAAAATAGAAGAACAAGAAGAAGTAGAGATGACATGAACACACAAACGAACTCACAGACTACTTAAAACAGTAATATTTCTAACCTAGAATTATGCCTATACATCTTATTGGTTTATAAAAATGGCGAAAGTAATAACCATATATGGTTATTGAATGATAAATATAAACGACACCTATCTACATTGTGTCAAGAATTCTGAAACTCTTCAGTAGAAGATTATTCCCTATCGTTGTTACCGTCATCAACATCATCATCATCATCTTTGTGTGATTGTTCCAATTCGTATTATAATAAACTAATTTAAACAAGATGAGTGATGAAGAAATCAGTGCTCTTGTAATCGACAATGGTTCAGGAATGTGTAAAGCTGGTTTTGCTGGTGATGATGCTCCAAGAGCAGTATTCCCATCAATTGTTGGTCGGCCAAGACATCAAGGTGTTATGGTTGGTATGGGACAGAAAGATAGTTATGTTGGCGATGAAGCTCAATCGAAACGTGGTATTCTAACATTGAAGTATCCTATTGAACATGGGATTGTTTCAAATTGGGATGATATGGAGAAGATATGGCATCATACATTCTATAATGAATTACGTGTAGCTCCAGAAGAACATCCTGTTCTACTGACTGAAGCACCTATGAATCCTAAAGCAAATCGTGAAAAAATGACACAAATTATGTTTGAAACATTCAATAGTCCAGCTATGTATGTTGCAATTCAAGCTGTCCTATCGTTATATGCATCTGGTCGTACAACTGGTATTGTGTTGGATTCAGGCGATGGTGTAAGTCATACTGTGCCTATTTATGAAGGTTATGCTCTACCGCATGCAATTCTTCGACTCGATTTAGCTGGTCGTGATTTAACTGACTATCTTATGAAGATATTGACGGAACGTGGGCATTCATTTACAACTACTGCTGAACGTGAAATTGTACGTGATATTAAAGAAAAGTTATGCTATGTTGCCTTAGACTTTGAACAAGAAATGAGTACTGCTTCGCATAGTTCATCATTAGAAAAAAGTTATGAACTACCTGATGGTCAAGTGATTACAATTGGTAATGAACGTTTCCGTTGTCCTGAAGCAATGCTACAACCAAGTTTCTTAGGTATGGAATGTGCAGGTATTCATGAAACAACCTATAGTTCAATTATGAAATGTGATGTTGATATTCGTAAAGATTTATACTCTAATATTGTTCTCTCTGGTGGTTCAACAATGTTTCCGGGTATATCAGATCGTATGCAAAGAGAGATATGTAATCTTGCACCGACAACAATGAAGATTAAAATAGTTGCACCACCTGAACGTAAATACTCTGTATGGATTGGTGGTTCAATTTTAGCCTCATTGTCAACATTCAATCAAATGTGGATAACAAAACAAGAATACGATGAATCTGGTCCAGGTATTGTACATCGTAAATGCTTCTAAATTAATTTAACTCTAATTGTATATTGACAATAATTTATATACTCTTCCCTTAATCCATTTTCATTGTTACCCATTGTCAAAGCTTTTATCATCAATGAATTTTTATTTCCAAAGAACTTTGGAGGCTTTATGACACTGAAACACCTTGAATGTGTGTTTTATTTTTTATTTCCGAACCTTATTTTAAAAAAGTTCATTCTTTTTCTTCTCCTAACTGGTGTTTGTATTTTTTCGTTTTCATTCATATACTACTTGAATGAAATAAGTAGGTAAACAACATCATTGAAAAATTGAATAAAACATTGTAAAAAACAAATGACTATTCACGTCTTTATTTAACTGACTGGGATTTTTGTCAGAATTATGTTGTGTTAAAGTGTGAGATTCATTTGTTTTAACAGTTCGTAGTATTGTTCATCATGCTACACAGGTAATGTGACATTACTCAAGTTAAACAATACTGATAGGTTAACCAGATCGAAGTAATTTAAACATTGGATAGATGTTCCGGTCGTTTGGGGTCAAACTAATCAGCCACGTACTCGATTTGTCTCAAGTTAGAGAGCTAAATCAGTTCACAAACTATCTATATAATGACTAGCTACGTGAACGGACTGATCGGCAGCATGATTATTAAGAGGCAGTCATTATGAATTAATTACTTCCTCTTGAGTTATTGCTAATCACAGTGATATATAAATACATTTAATCTCATACAGTAAGTAATAGAATAAATAAAGTAAACGCCAAACGTATATTTCGAATTCCAACCGTTTTATAACATCTCAAACCCAGGAAGTAGTTCACAGGATAGTTATTGCTTTTCATAGTAAAAATTAGTTCACAGGTGTAATCGTCAGACTATGTTCTGAGCAGTGACTTCTAAATAACCCCAAGCTTTAGGGGGTGAAGTACACACCCGATTGTTGACAGTCTTGACGATCTACGCAGTCCACTGGCTCATTTTCGTTCCTTTCTTTTCCTTCTATCCAACAATATTAACCATATCCAAGGGTAATAGTTAAGTCTTCCACCGTCCAATAGACCCTGATCATAAAAACTTATGTAACATGGCTTTGATTTACTAACCCAACAGGAAGTATGATATCGAATTGTCAAGACAGGTAGTAATTCCCCATTTTGGTCTTAACTCAAAACGATGTAAAGCAGATATAGTTGCATAATTGATTTGTGTCATGAAATAAGGCTTAGAAATTAAACTAGATAAAGTACTCTGCATTAATTCTATTGAATGCCTTTAGTTTTTTTTATTTACAGCTTGATTCCACACTGTATTTTTGGTACAAGTATGGAATTTTCAGCATGGATATCGGTAGCCCAAATTCTGCGGGCCGGCCATAGATATCAGGTGTGCGCCGGCGTGGGCTCGAACCCCGGACCATGTGCATGACCGGTGAGAGTCCTAACCACTGTGCCACCGACGCACATACATTAAAATACTGATACGTGCAAAACAGTAGCGCATGTTAGATAAGACAGTGAATGTTAGAGTAAAAGAGAATACAACAGTAAATAAACTCATGAAGAGAATGTGTAATTCCAGAACAATAATTATAACGTTAGATTAAAGTATGCAGTCGCTGTTGTTCCGACTGTCGTTGTTGACTTGATCTGTGCCGTATGCATATTACTTTGGTATCATTATTAGTATTTAGACGAAGCAATAAGAAGATGTAGTTTGTCTGAATCGTGTAATGCTGTATTGGTGCGTACAACACATTTCGAACAATCTGATCACACACAGACTTCTCAAAGGAGTGTATATGAAATTAATAAAGAGTTATGAGATAAGAAAATAAATTAACGTCAAGTTAAAAGAACATATCCAAGGTCAAAATAACAATGAAGGCCACTAAACCAAATGAGAGAGGTAATCAATAGTACATCTACCTTGAATGGTGTCAAAACAGAGTTTACCAATGCAGGTGGTTTAGTGTGATGACGAGCCGTCACTTTGAACGTATAAAGGTGGTTTAAACTTCCTAATTGCCAGCTGGGGATTCCACAAACTTTAGTATACGCCCCAAACACATTTTATAGATAGATAGGTGTAAAAGACGTGTAAACACCAATCTTATGTCCTGTCCCTATAATATGTTTGACAATATAAGAGCTATGTCTCCTGTTGTCACCATTAGTGGGCTCTGTGGATTCTATTTGCTTCTGAAGCCATTTAGGAATATTCTCTGGAGCCAGTCCTTATTTTCAGAGATCGATTAGTCCTTTACGGATAAAATTTCATTTTGGTTAAGTCACACAGTGTTATACAGTAATAAGATTTGATAGTGTGAAATATTCCCATATCATGAATTAAAAGTCAATCTGAACGAAGAATATTCTTTTCAATAATTTCTCTTCAGGTTCTTACAATTATAAAATATAATATTTGTGGTCGTTACAATCATGATAGCCAGTTATGCGCCGGATACATTTTTAACGTAGAATAACAGATTAGTAAGTATGGTGTGTCAAAATAAATAGTCGTATTTGTGTGACAAACGTCGTCTGGGCTGAAATCGATTAGAAATATTGTAAAACGGGAGACAGTAGTGGTGATTAATCATAATAGAATTGTAGATTGTGGGGTAGGAAAATTGACAGATTAGTTCAAGGTTATAAAAGGTGTCAGATGAGTGGCTAGTACAAAGTGGTCTGAGCTAAACGGGAGATAGTAAGACTGGAATGAGAGGTTCATAGTGAGATAACGAATATGTTAAATGAAACAGGTGGAGGCATATATTGAGAAAACAGATAATATCACTAATAATAAGTCCGGATAGTATAAATGAAAATTTGATAGTATTGAGGGAATGCTTGCATGAAGGGCATAAATTATAATAAATAAATAATAACAACTGTAATAATAATATTTATAATAATAAGCAAAGGAAAAAAAACCAAGAAGGTTAAGGGGAAGGAGCACTCTAGGTGAGAAGAAAAATCTTCAATCCAAGGTTGGCCACGGTAGGAACAGCGTCTGGACATATTCTTTTTGGATACAAAGTTCCGGTTTAGTCGATCTTATTGCAACAGCTTCAGCTATGTGTAGGAGACGTAAGAGAACTGTACGGGATAACGACTTCGGAATTCGGTATATAACCCTGAAAGCTGTGTTGACATCGATGCGATGTCCAGTATCGACCAAGTGTGACAGGATCGAGCTTTTTATGCACTTAATTTCCCCCCTGCTGAACCAAGCTGGTAAGTGTTCTCGAACCCGTAGACGAACCTGCCTAATCGTGCGCCCTATATAACTTGAACCACAGGAACAGTTGAAATGGCATATGCATGAAGAAGAGCTAAGGTTAGGTAAGACATCTTTGAGTTGCTGGGTGGACATTGGACGGCTAGTGAAGGATAGACACAGACGTGCAGAGTAGAAAGTTTTCTTGATCGCCCTGGTTAAAGGTTGGGATAGAATCTCCGCAGGAGTATCTCCCTTGAATTGGAGACGTAAAAATAAAGGCTTTTTCTCCACAGTTGCCAGTTCATGTTTACGACTATTATAACCTATGTTGGCTTTAATGAACTTCTCTGGATATCCGTTCTCGCTTAGAATGTCTCGGATGATCTGGAGTTCTTTCTCTACGCAGTCTTCGGAACAAATAGACCTCGGTCTAAATGCTAAGCACCTGATTAGATTACGTTTGTATTTCATCGGTACGAAGCTAAGGAAATGTGTTTTTGATGTGGTTTTGTCTCTGAGCTGGATGGTTAGTTGCGAAGCTTTCATCACCTTACTGGGTGACATCTTCAGCGCATACTTCAATTTGAATGTGTATACTGAGCTTTGGTCTCTAGCTTTCTAACTATGGTCCTTTTGATGGAACCATCCTCTCTTCTCGTTAGTAGGTCGTCGAGGAAGTGTAAAGAGTCGTTGTATTCTCCTTCGTAGGTGAAATGGATCGCTGGGTGAGCATTATTGAAGTTGTTCAAAATCAAATCACTATTTAACCCCTCATCGTACACTACAAAAGTGTCATCCATGTAACGACAATACATTTCCATTTTCGCTATTTCCTTTTTCAACGGACTATTTTCTAGTTTTGCTAAAAATATATTCGCGAAAATAGGTCCCAGTGGGGTATCCCATGGCTACTCCATCAACCTGTCTGTATATTTCATGATTAAATAGGAACTGAACATTCGTTGTGCATTTTACAAGTAGTTGTTTCAGATTACTGATAGGAATATCATCACACAATTTCTTTTCTATAATCTGTTCGCAGATATAATCGATGGTTTCCACTAGAGGTACATTTGCAATATACACAGTTTAGTGGGAGGAAGGTGTGGAGGGGTGAAATCTTACAGTAGTTTCCTTTTCAAACCAAATTATTCAGATCACATGTTGTAATCTGCCTGATATCATAAATGGTAAATAGATATATTGACTTAAAAATGGCATTTGAGAAACAACTGACTACTTGAATCATCTATCCTTTAGAATGAAAGCTTTCAGATAGCATAGAGATAGTTTTCTCGAAGGTTTTAGTTAGAAATCGACATAAAATGATGATAAAGATAAATGACCTCTCGGTGACAATGGCTGATATTCATGATTTATTATGAATGAAGATGATTTTTTAGGTAGGTAGGTAGGTAGGAAAGGATTAAATTTCAACTTAGTGGAGTTGATACCGAAGTCTTAGACTCTAGACATGTTAGACTAGCGGTTAGAATTCCTGGCTTTCACCCAGGCGGCCCGGGTTCGACTCTCGGCGCGGGAGCGCCTTTGTGCGTCGGTGGCACAGTGGTTAGGACTCTCGCCGATCATGCACATGGTCCGGGGTTCGAGCCCACGCCGACGCACACCTGATATCTATGGTCGGCCTGCGAATTTGGGCTACCGATATCCATGCTGAAAATTCCACACTTGCACCAAAAGTACGGTGTGGAATCAAGCTGTAATCAAAATAAAAAAATAAAATAAAATAAATAGACTGTGTTAGACACATTCCAGCTTGAAAAAAATGAGA